GTGAGAGAAACGTAGTTACGCTCACAGATGTTGTTGATATGGGTAGCCATCGACGCGTCAGTGCCAATGCCATTCTTCTCCATCAAGCCAAGAAGATCTAATGCGGCACAAAAATATGATATTCCGCGCACTGCGAAGAATTCATTTCTTACCCGACTCGGAAAGATACGGAGGAGGCTTCGTCTTGGCACTACTGATCGATTTGGACGCTATCTGTAGCTTCTCCCCAATTTTCAACTGAGGAAGAACCATACGAGTAACAAGCCGCCAATAGTCCCTACCGGAGGGACGTAGATATCCTGCATCTCCCCAGTGTATTGGACTCGGGTGAAGCCTGGGCTTTTCATGCGACGACCGCCCACGGAGAATTTCTGAATGGAAGCAGACCCTGACCGACGGCTGTTGCTGCTAGTGCTCACCTCGTCCCCAATGACGAAATGGACTTTAGTTCTAGTGAACTTGCAGTCATGACCGAGGCTGGCCAGGAAGTGACGAGTAAGCATGTCGAAGAGCCTCCAAGAGTCAGAGCTACCAAAGTCACCTTCTGTCGCCGACCTGAACACCACCAAACAAGTGAATCAAGTCGCCTCGCTGACACCATGGCCAACTACAAGCCAGGGGTGAGTGTACGTACTGAACCTTAGAGCGAAATCCAAAGAGTACTATTACCTCACTGGGGTGATGGGTGGATGGTCACCAGCGTCATAGCCCTCCTTAGGTCGATTAAGACCAGTTGTTAGCAGTTCTGTCGCGAACTCGCCCCAGTAGCTGAAGATGATACTGTGGACTCATCGAGGTCGGCTGGCACGTACGGATTCCGTGATTGGAAAGATACAGCCTCTCGCAGGTCGAAGGCAGGAGGATATTTCGTGGTCTCTGTACGAGGGTACGTGATGTAGCCCGACAGGTACAGGCGCTCGGCCACCTGATAGAGACCATTCCATGCCCTATCCATGTAGCGGTGACTGGTTTAATGGCAATAGAAGCTGGATGACAGGAGTGAGGCTCTCGAGGATCCGTCCATCATGCGAGAAGTGGAGACCATTTTCCTGTCTTACGGTACGAGTCGTACCGTACGACTCGTTAAAACATGCCCCTCTCTTTAACCAGTAGACATCGAAGGCCTCTCCAACAACTCCAGGTACTAACGATGTCCTCCTCACCGAACCGCTCCTACTACTATTACTACTACTATTACTACTATTACTACTACTATTACTACTACTATTACTACTACTATTACTACTACTACTACTACTACTACTACTACTACTACTACTACTACTACTACTATTACTACTACTACTACTACTACTACTACTACTACTACTACTACTACTTGCATGGCCTGCTGTGGTCCCATTCCCAGCTGCTGAGAGGCCAGCTTGAGCATCAACACAGTGTTCATAGCTCCCGGTCTAGACCTCCGTTCCTGCTCCCCGTCATCATCAATACCAACACTATCGCGATAGATGGACTACCTCCTTCTCACTAACATCCGTCACTGTCGCCCATTGATAAGCGTCGATCATCGACTTGAACGTAGTAGCTGCTTGCAGGTCGAAAAGCTGACCGCGAGACCATTCCAACCACAGAGGAGAAGCCAGCTGAGAGCCTGCCAGCGACAGGGTGACCACGTTTACAAGGGAGATCCCGAACGACCTTCAAGTTTGACATCAATGGTGTAGTAAGTCTCGGGTTGGAATGTCTGAATGTCGTTATGCCTCCGTACACAGAACCACAGAGTAGGCGTTTGGCAGGGTCCATACGAGACCAGAGAGGAATCAAGATCGCCGTATTTACCCTGAAAAAGGATTCCGTCAAAGCTGTCAGTTCCGAGCTGCTCGAGAAATCTCACCTGAAAGTATCTGGTCTGAAAACGAGTGAAAGCAACGCCCGTCTTGAGGTCGATTTCCTGGCGAGCATCCACTGACAGCGCCTCATTCTGATTGGGGTATCCGAGGTTACGGTAGGCATGCTGAACAAGCAAGGCACCTCATCCTCAGCCGCAGGGTATTCCAAGTACTACCTGAAGATCCTTAGCCACCAAACTGGAGAACTTGGCTCGCCATACATTCTTGCGGTCGGACAAGTTCGGAACGACATTCTGCATCACCTACGCACAGCGAAGAAGATACCGCTTATCCCAAGCGGCGGCGGCGACATGCACTGGTCTCCGCTTACCTCATAACAGATATTCTCGCCTTCTCTATCACAATCGAGCCAGAGTACTAGATGGTCGCAGCCCTTGGATTCTGAACGCAGATGCTGAGGCATCCTCTGCTTGGGGTTGGCCTGAATGATGACGTGTGACACGAGTAATGGCGTTATAACGACTCGATAAGACATACCACATTCAGTACGAATCTACTACAGTGGAAAACAGCTCCCCGACTGTTGTATAAGATCAGTCGTCTCCTCCCCTCGCCGCCCTTCTACTACCTCTTTCTGAACAGTCTTGGACTCGAACAGCTTGGCCGGATCCACTCTATCCCAGTTGTTGAGCTCAGGCGGGAAGTCTATGCTGTACACATGACCCGCTACAGACGTAATCTTCAACCACGCCGGACTCCCCTGTAAAGCGGCTGGGAGGACTCTACAGTAGCTACGATAACTACCTGGAATTCGCCGTTGAACTCATGCACTTGACCGACAGGTGACACTCCCCTTCGAGACTGAGGCATACAGTGTACCCGACCATCACGGAAAACTCACACGTACGTTGTATTTGCCTTTACATAGTGACTTCGCGAGAGCCTCCGCAATAGAGGGCTTTTCAGCTACCATTAAGACCTGCTGCACCATTATAAGCCTAGGCAAAAAGTCAACTGCGTAATGGAGTAACCCGTAGGGCATTGACCACTCACCAACGCAAGAGCTATATCGAAATTACTTTCCGAAATGTACCACCAACAATACTAAGCAACTCCGCCGTCATCGCCATACGGGAGCTACACTCCGTGAGACGGTATGAACAGACCGCTGTGTTCATTCAGTGGCTTCATCGGCGCCACCAGTGCTGCTAGCCACGACCGAACGGAACTTGGCCAAGATGTGAAGGCACACGACGCACCCCATGTAGGCAAGGGAGAGGACTAACACCGTAGTGGGCCCGACCTTGATACCCGGGGCATCGTCAGTGTAGAACTTCAGGATAGAATTGCCGGCGGCCTGAGAGGAAGAATATCTTCAGATCAACAAGATTCAGAATAGATTAGTTACTCTCCTTCCAGAAGCAGGGGCGGCCTTCTGACTGCTGCCAACGTTTCTCCTATGGAGATGGTTGGTGCGGGCTCCTCCCACGGTCTGAGCGGGAGCTGCAGTAGTGGGAGAAGTGTTCATGTTGGTCTCAGAGCCCTTAGTCATTTTAAAGAAAAATGTGTCCTACTAAGTTGATGGCTATAACGGCGGTGTCCGAGGAAAGGACCCAAGTCATTTCTCCCCAAGACACTATCAACGAGACGATAGCGCAGTCAGAAGTTGACCAAGGCGTGGTATGGAATACGAGACGTTTAATATGCATCTGGCATCCCAGGCAGGCACGCGGCACGTACTGATCAACAGACTCCAAACACGAAGAAAATCGATCGCACTGGCGTCCGCGAAATTCCATACCACTCCTTTCCCAAATCACAACTGACAGTACACCAACTCAAGGGCAATGAAGCTGCTTAGATAAAAAGCTCTACGTAAATCGAATAACTGACATAAATGCTACTATGCAAACTCGAATCCTTTGGAACCTAATCGTACTGCAGTCATCAGCTTCATACACAGAGTTTTCTCCTTGTCATAGGCCGGCAGAGTGAGCTGGTTAAAACAGGTAGAGGCTCGAGGGAGATCGGGGCAATTGGGGTCGCCTACTGTAGTTCTGATAATTCTAAAGCCTGGTGCAGAGTTACCCAGGGAACGTAATTCGGCAAAGCCACCGAGAGGAACACTTGTAAGCCCCGTAGCGAATAGCAACACCAAGCGGACTTCACCGTCACTAAGACCATGTAGCAGTTTCCAAAACCACAAGATTTGCGCTGACGAGGCATCGTAGCCTTCGTAGTGCGTATGAGCCTTCCAATCAGCCAAGTCAAGAGGCGTGTCACCTCCAGAGTGTAAGATAACAGCGAGCTCGTCGGAAGAGAACAGCCTGAGCTCATAGGACTTGAGGACGTCTCTCATCCCCCTCTTCAGCGCTGCGGCTGCTACCGGCCTGTGAACTTTCTCAGTCAACCGACACAGTATGTACTCCTCTTTGTTATCTTCACCACAAGACAAGCACAGCTCCTCCTCAAGGCCAGTGAGGTCGTTATCCTGTAGGTATTTCATACTGTTGTGGAAGGTAGGCGACCACACATTCAACCACTCCCACAGCTTCTCCATACTCGGCGGCTCAAACGGGTCTGCCTTCTTCAGAGCCTCTACCACAGACCTATGCAGGGGTAGTCTCATGCCAATGTGATGGAGAAGTGCCATGGCCAGCAGCCTCCCGATGCCCACGAAGACCTCAAGGTCGACGTCCCTCCTAGGCAGTAATAGCCGACCATCGTCGCTCCTCTCAAAGGCGAAATCAGGCAACTCGTCAAAGATGCAAGTCCACATCTCCCGCTCAGGTCCAAGACAAGACCCTCGTTCGTTGCACCAGCTCACACTGAGGTTGCCCCACCTCATCTGACTGCTATCAAAGGTAAGGACCCTCTTCACTGTCTCTTGGAGGAAGTAGGGCCCTCGGAGGCACTTGAACTTCATCACCGGCACGAACGATGGCCGGGCCTGGCTCACTGACAAGGTCAAAAGCCTCATCTTGTTCTCCATGTCGAGGGCAGCCGCGAAGGGCTCTACCGAGCGAGCCCTTAGAATAAAGGCCAGAGGCTGTCCAGGCAGCAGAAGTTCCAGGCGTGGTCGTAGGAAGTCGTTGAGCATCTTGAAGAAGGGTGGACGTTCGCACACAAACCGCATCAGCCGAGCCACTCGGGGTCTTGTTCGGTTAGGGTCTTTCTTGAGTAAATCCTTGATAACCGAGAGCTGCGGGAAGCCCGGCTGAGCCGTATCATGACGAAGAAGAACCTCCACTGCATCAGCACCGGCATCTTCCGACTCCACACATTGTAGGGCATAGAGGAGAGGCGGCCAACCCGAGGTGTCACACATATGGGCATCAGCCCCTAGCTCAATAAGCTGCGCCACGCCCAATGCCGATCCTTCCACAGCCGCCATATGCAATGGAGTAACTCCCGTGTCCTTGACCACACAGTTGAAGCCGCATACGCCGTACTTGACCAGATACCGTACAGCTGCCGGAGAGCCAGCAGCCAAGTGTAGCGCCGTATTGCCTTGGCCGTCAATCTCCTTATAGTCCGCAGGCCTCAACATGGTCAACTTCTCCACAGACCTCTCAGCAGCCGCGATCAGCACCGCAGAGCGCCTTTCGGCGAAGGCTCTTGACTTGAGCAGCCTCCGTCTGTCGCTGCCTTTTACACCAGCGAGTAAGGTGGCAGCAACGACAACATCAGGCCGGAATAGGGCCAGCTGCAGGGCGTTCGAGCGATATTCCTTGTCCATCTCGAATTGCAAATTAGGTGCGAATAAGTTGAGGAGGTCTCGGATGCCCTTCCCATCGAAGGTGGGATTCATAGCCGCCAAGTGAAGGGGAGTCAAGCCGTAGCGATCCCGTAGCCTGGCCGGGGTTATCGACACACATGCTCCACGGAGCTCCCAGAGTATGTTCCGGACAGTGTCAGCGCAATCTCGCAGGGCGAGCCCATGTAGGACACTACGACGATGTGGCCCATGAGGGGCTGTAAGAACAGGAGTAGTAAGGCCACCCCAGAAGTCCTTATCGTAGTCTACACGTGTGGCACAGACCTTCTCCAATGGCGATGTAGACCCATTCGTGTGTCGAAGCTTACCCCGACCGACGATGCACCTTGCTACCTCTGCCGCAGCCTCTTCTTCGCTAGGAGTAGATCTCACCTCTTGCCGGAACCATACAGGCCAGTGGCTCGGTATTGTTTCCCTCCAGTGAGGCGCCGCTTCCATGCTGATCGGCCCGTCCACCTGGATAGGTGTTGGCCTCATTTCCTCCCCCTCATCATCATCTGGTACGAAGAAGCTGTCCTCCGAATCGTCATCGCTATCATCGCCGCTGCCTTCGATCGAGCTCGTGTCGAAGTTGCTCGACTTGAGCCTCGGCAGGCCAGGAGCCCTCGAAGAGGGAGGTGGGGCCACACCATGGTAAGGATGGCTGCCGTCGTCGTGGTCAGATTCCTCCTCCACCCCTGGCGAAACGGCACTTCTCATTGCGAATAACTTCCTTGTCAGATCCGCCTCCACTGCTCTCAGCTTGCGGGTCTCCTCCTGTCGCTTCTCAGACGAGTCGCTCTCACCATCATCATCATCAGAACCCTCCTCTGTCTCTTCCTGGGCCTCCACAGACCCCTCCAGCTCCTCACAAGGGCTCTCCTCCTCCTGAGCCTGTACCCCACTCCTAAACCTACGCCGCTTACGTGCCCTTTCCTCCTCCCTCTTGGCAACACCCGCCTCGTCATCGCTATCCGACTGATCCCTAAAAGACTGCCCTAAACTCGCCTGCCGCTTCAGCCTTCTCTTGGCATATGGCGACTCCTGCGTGTGGCCCTCCTGATTGCCTTTGCCGTTCCTCATGGGCGTAGATGTCGCCCTCGTAGATGGTGTAGAAGCTCTCCTTCTAGTAGGCTTCGCAGGAGTCACCAGGGCTGCAGTGGCAAGAGGAGTGTCTCGCCTCTTTCGAGCAAGCCGTGCACTCTGTCGTTGAGGTGTTTCCTTGCCTGACATTTGGTAGGACCAAACTCATGCTGAAAACCTATACTTCTCACCCTTACCCACCCCATTCGGAATTTACCAAACTCGAACCCGCTCAAGATGAAGAAACGTCATTCAGTAGGGTAGTAGGACTTGGGCAATCTCACAAACTTCCTTGATGGGATCACCCGGTCGTCCACTCTCGAAACGTGGAACTGTATCGCTGCGAGCCTTTCGCACCTTCATTTATCCCCGTATCAGTTCCAACTGTCCAACTTGGCCCAGCAAGTGCTGCACAGTAAGGTCTGCGTGCCGACGAACTCCGCTAGGTGAGTCGACTCAATGACATCAGCCATTCGTCTGTGGAGTACCTCGTACACTCCCTTCCCCCATGGACAATGTTCACACAGCGCTCAATAGCTTGCATATCATATGCAGCGACATCGTAACCGTCGCTTCGCAATTTGAAGGATTCGCAATCGAGTTCCTGACAGTCTTCGATGAACCCCTGAGCCTCATGAATATGTGGGGGTATGTCGCCGCCACCGTCATCTCATAGCGGCACGTATTCAAAGGCAACCCCCCCAGGGGCCTCCATCAGAATCTGTTCATCCGGTAGATTCAAGTTGGCGCCTCCAGTCCGTCAAAACTACACCTGCGGGTCTGGTAGGTCTCCAGTGGGCAGACAGTGTCCAAGCGCATGACAAGGGCCCATATGTGGATACTGGTTTAAGGGTTAAAGGCATTCGTACAACTCGAGCTCCAATGCCCTCATACTCTGGAGCAAGTTACGGCGATGCCGTGCGGAACATCAGTTACTGTGTGTTTTTCCCTTGGAGTGAAATCTCGGAATCGCCTGCAGAGTGAGATAGGAGTTTGTTGGTGGTCGCCGTCGCCAAGTGAACAAGTTTCGTGCATCTGCAAGAAAGAAGAATGATAATGTGGGTCGGGGCACCAGTGGTACCGAAGACCATAGATGGTAGGTGGAGCACTGTCCGTACGTGGTGACCTCGGGGGTAGATAGGGCTCGAAGACCTCGATCACTCGTAGAGCATTCCTTTTGTGTAAGCGGCACTGACGGTAGCAGAACTCGTCATCGCTGATGGCATTGAAGGGATTGGTGCAATCAGCCTAAGGGCACTCGACGTGCTGGTCGACCTACTGTGGCTCGGCTAGGTGTACCTCATACAGCATATCAATGTGTTCGGTGAGATTGTTTATATCATCCATAGTGAACTTTAGTGCATGTAGGCGAACCTCCGACAGAAAGGTATGGAATGCACGTGAGTGGTTCATATTTACTCATAATATGAATCTCAATTTTCGCGTAAGATTTAAGATCTTACTCACTCTTATTCTTGAGGTTAGTTCTCTTCCATTCAAGGCTGAGGGACTAATGAAGAGTCCTAACCTCAAGATCCGCCAGATTCAAGGGGTTAGTAAAAGAGGCCCGATGTTGCCGCGTGGACTGCATAGTGGAGCAGACGGAGACTCGTCGTTTGTGACGGATTGTGGCGCTTTGAACGGGTCTGCCTTCTTCAGAGCCTCCACAACAGACCTATGCAGGGGTAGTCTCATGCCAACGTGATGGAGAAGTACCATAGCCAGCAGCCTCCCGATGCCCACGAAGACCCCTCCACCTTTGGAAGGCTCATCTTGCTCTTACTTAGCAGCGTCATTGCCAATGCTCAGTGATTGGTGCAGAGGCCTCTCAGAGGTTTACGAGGAATGCTAATCTCTTACTGTGGGCATTACTACATGTCCATTTCATCGAGTGTTTCCGATTCACGTGTCGTGTGAGTCTATCTAAAGCGTGGTATCGCGGGTCGTGCACGTTTTCAGTTTTCCCATCTGACAACAACCCTCCACAGAAGTATCGCAGCGACTCGCTATGTCAGCCCTCGACATCAGGCCAGCCATTCTTGATACCATAGCTCAAACGACGACTCTAGTGGACTACCCTGGGCGCACTGAGCGCTTCCTCCCCGGCACATCCCTGCTTCGATGCCGTATATCCCCCTCGAATCCACGCATACTGGTCGTGGTGGGAGTGCTGGCGGCCACTGACATGCCCAGCATCGTCATCTGGTCGGTCTCGACTGATGATCCCAGTAAATCCACCCACGAAATAGTCATTCCTCTCACTAGCCCAACGGTTACTAGTCTTGATATCTCTCCAGACTGCCGTTCGGTCATGGTTGTCGTTACCTCCCACGATCGATCCGATGAGTCAGCGATATTGGTATCCTCTGGGGTCACCCTACCGGCCTCGGGGAGCGTCCAACCCTCCCTTAGAACGCCAGGATCTTCCTCATGTGGCGGCTCATCTGTTGGGTCCAAGCTGACTCCACAGTCGACGGAGTCCCATCCCTGCCTTCAGTCAGAGGTGGTCGTCTGGGTCGAGCTTGCCGGTGGGTTGCCTGAGCCGCCAACCGCCATAGCATGGATAGAGTACAGTCCCGTGGTCGTGTCCTCGACCGAGGCCCTCCTGGAGGAAGAGGCCGTCACTTACGTCTGTATGGGGTTCCTTACTGGTGAGGTTACTCTCATCGATGCCGATGGCGCCGACGGTGGGAACGTTGAGTCGCAGTTCAATTGCCGTACGCCAGTGACCAACATCGAGGTCATCCCAACACAAGGGGCAGCTCCGGTCCTCCTGGTACACCTCAGCGCCTCTCCATGCTTCTTTCTGCTCATGACTGCTGTAGACAGTCTTACAGGTGCCCTCAGACTGGAGGCCCATGTCCTCCCTCTACCCTGTCCTGACCCGAGATCTGTCAGATTCTTCTCTGATGACGACACCTGGTACATATCTACCCTTTCTAACTGTGGTTCCTGCGTCTACATGTCCATCCTTCCCGAGGGCGACTCCACAGCTGCGGTCACACCAGTCGCTCGTATACCAACAGCAGGCAGGATCCCCATTGTTGACCACTCGCTGGTGAGCCCGAGTCACGACTGCAGCCAGCGGAGGAGCATTCTGGTAGCCAATCTCGGTGGAAGCATCGCCCTTATGACCGCGAGTGCTGCTGGTTGTGATAATATCATCTTGGCCGTCGTCCCCTACAGCCCTAGCCCGACGGTGAGGCTGCTCGCCCCGACAGCTGGCAAGTCCTTGATACTCTCAACCCTTTGCTTCGCCACAGTGTCCCCAGCCACCTTGTATCGACTGGAGTTCCAAAATCGGAATAGAATCCAGGCTGCTGTGGAGGCGTGTGTGGCCAAAGCTGCCATTGAATGTCTACCGAGGAGCTCCAAGGGTGGTGTCTCCAGGCAGTTCTTTGAGACGGGCTTCCCTCTTATGTGCCAGGCCCTCGGTGACTTGGTAGATCTAGACGATGTCTGCTTAGCGGCCGGCCTTAGGGTCATGGACACGCCAGACCATAGTCCGTACGAGAAGCTTTGCTGTTGTCTGCTGGTCTGGCGTCAACGGTATTCGACCAAACCAGTGCCCTTCCCAGTAGTAAGAGCACTGCTACTGCACGTTGTTGAGAAGTCTGGGGAGGAAGGCGTGACGTCGTCGGGTAGAGTGACGCCGGAGGATCTCGGCAACTACCGTTTGCTGGTTGATGGACAAGAGCCCGTCATCCCATTCGAATACTTTGTCGGGGTAGTCTCGGCGGACGGCCGGGCCCTAGAGAGACCGGGTCTGTTCAAGGAGCACTGGGGGCCAGGCTCAGACCTCGGATCGGGAGGGATGCTGATCCACCCAGTGCGTCGACTGTGGATCCTCGAACTAGCACTTAGTATGATGCTCGGCCGTCGGCTGTCCTCAGCATTTGTCCAGGAATGGCTTGACGAGACCAACTCTAGGCCAATGATCTACAGTTCCAGCCGGAGGGGATTCCAGTACCTTGTCGAGCTAGCTCTGCACAAATTCAGAGCAACATGGTCTGACGTGGCGGATCTTGCCAAGACCCTAAGCCCTCCGTTGGGAGGAGCTCTTGGTACAGTAGGTCGATTCGTTGGCCTGCCTTCTGGCTGCGACGTTGGTATTCCCGTTATACTCGCTATTCTAGCCAACAGTTGCAGTTTCGGAGTGTGGAAGTCCGCAGGGATGGACACACTGGAATTGGTGACACGTGTGGGTGACACCGTAAAGAAATGCTGGCTAGTGGATAGCTTGCCATGGTCTCGCCATTCGGATGCCCTTGTTGCCATACTACGGTTAATGCGGAGGGTATGGGAGCTGCTCGTGGCAATTCGAGAGGCCCATGTGGAGTCTCTCGAGATCAAGCCGGTGATGAGGACCCTTCCGACCAGCGACTCCGCGGTGGCCTTCAGAAGTATTGTCAAGGCAATGGAGGATCGCGTCGATGAAGCCTCTGCACCACACGGTCCAGTGTGGACGAGCTCAGACGACGGCCTCTATCGAATTGCCAGCCAGGCTCGATGGCTCATGTATGATGGGGGCTCGGTGGAGGACTTCACTCGAGTTGAAGTGGACGAGGACCTCGAGGTAATGAGGAAACTGACGATAATCCTGAGGCGGGATGGCAGACTTTGGAAGGAGTTACCATGGAGTCAAAAATTCAGACTTCGTTTGATTCGGCAGGTGGTAGTAGATGGTAATAGATCATCCCATGGAGCATGATGGTGTTTGTCATGAAAACAGACTCTCTTTGTTTCCTATGCATCCACGATTGGGTCTCAGACAGCAATTTGTAATGCAGCTCATCGGATCAGCAAGAGGGGCCCTGTATGAATAGCATTCAGAGTTTGTCTCCAATGGATTATGATGGTCGACGATGTTCTTATTGATGCCAACGGTCCACTACTAACGCCACTCTCGCCCATACCAGAGAACGACAAGGTAGTACTCCACAATAGGGGGGATGTAGGCAGCTGTTGTGCAAGGTAAAGCATAAGCTCTTCCTAGAGCAAGAACAGCGATACAGCTGGAACAGCCAGAGTCGACATTGGAGCGAGTTCGTCAGGGCGTGGCGGGTACTCTAATGGGGGCACCATCACTGCACTTGGGGTCCTCAGGAGCGGTGCCCCGAGCCCAAGAGCTCCGAGGCCTTCCGTCAATGGATGGACGATACTAAGAAGTGTTACCAAATCCTCTGTGCTGGATGGGAACGTCGGGAAAGCGAAGCCTCTGGCTTTGCTGTGGACATCTGGTGAGGAGGGGCCTCGATGGGCATCATCACTGATGCCTTTCCCATTGTAGTCTACCAGCCGAGCTCAGTGTCAGCTCTAGCAGACCCGCGAACATCGTCACGACTTCCACTGAGGTGCCCATGACATTTTGATGCTGTCGATGCTGCATGATGATCAGATCTCTCTACTCCGTATCTCAACTGACAGCCTCCCGGGTGGCTCGGCCTCGGATGCCTCTCCCATGCCAAGAGCGAGCGCGGCGAAATCGAGCGGATTGTATTCGTCACTCAGCGCGGAGTTCTTGGCCGATCTCGAGAGTCTAGTAGGAGCCCACGGCTGACAGCCTGAGGATGATGCCGGTATGCAGGCAGATTCCATCCACAGTGGATTCCGTCCATCCGACTGGCCCACCTCATCACCGTCTACAGAAGTCCCTGTAGCCTCACCGGACGGGGAGAACTACAGTGTAGGTCTGCGAGTGGGGGTCATCACAGCTCGATCGCTCAGTCTAACAGTAACTCGTCGAGTGACATTGGGAACACAGCAGTTCTGTTCTCACCCCCGAAGAGCTCATCTTCGCCAACTACTGCCGACTACCTCAGCTATCGCTCCAGCCTCGCCGTTGAAGAAGCTCCTCGACAGGCGGTGAGAGAGGTCACAGCCCGGGCTTTGTTCTTGGTGCCTACAGGGTGATAACCTACGGCGATTAACTACCAGCGAGCTGTCCATCTCGCCAAGTTCAACTGAGTCGCCCTCTCGAGGGAACGACACGGAAGCTGCTAATATCAGCGAAGTGAGTCCATCTGGTGTTCCCTAATCACTCAACCCTGCTGCTGACAGCTGGTCGCCGCTATGGAGAACCCAGCAGAGCATGAGAGGCACTCCATAACTCCCAGAAAGGTGAAGTGCTGTTGTTATCGCTACTATGAAGGTCTTGTACAGGGGGAGGGGGTTACGGACGTTGATGTACTCGGCGATGAGTCGCCCATCCTGCCCCAACGTACACCTGTGCTGGATGGCGATCTGGACGACTGCGAGTCGTTGGTCATTCTCGGAGCTAGTACGGGGCTTTCTGTGAGGAGTGCCCCACGGTGGGATCAGGTTTCGGTAGCGGCTCTGGCCCGCTGTCCTCGTCTTCTGGTCGCCGCAATGGGACTTTGGACTTCATTTTGCATCGCACTCCTCTCGAGTCGATCTCTGAGGAACTTGAAGAGGCCGAGCCTGATCCCATCGGTGTCACAAGTAAGTTGGTAGTGATGCATGAACCGAGACGAATGATGCTCAGGACAAGACTCCAACAGCTTTCCTTTGAATAGAGGCGCCACCATTACCCCGGACAGGGACGATAGCAGGAGTGGCCAAGACTATGATGTTTTGGTCGTTCGAGTCAACTCAGCGTTCTCCTCAGCGGCAAACTCTCCGCTACTACCCACCGAAGAGACTCGGTCCGATATGATAAACGCAGATGGCGACTCCATTCCATCAGTTCCTGGGCAGCGCCGCTCAGAACGAGAGCTCTTTCCGGCTCAAGACGATGAGTCGTCATTGCACTGTGACAGCAGAGCTCCTACAGCTACCTCCTCCCCTCTTCAAGACAGCTCTAGTGGCTCACAGTATGAGCACGCTGGAGGGTCGAGCATGGAAGACTCCAATGCGTACAAGGATTGCGATGAGGCCTCGCGCCTTGGTGAGGACTGTCATTCGAACGATCACCATCTTGAAGCGAGCATCATGGAGGAGATAGACCTGTCGTCCGGATACTATACCGATAACACGATGGACGAGAGGGAATCTTCAGTTAGCGACAAGACCGCTACCCGAGAGTCCGATGGTTCCCCTGGAGATGATTCAAATGATCCTAGTGGTGAGTATAAGCGTGGGCATCTCAACGATGGTCGTTCGTGCTTTCAGAAGTCGATGTCGTCAGCGCTAAGGAAGAGGAAGTCGCGAAGGAGCCGTTGGGTTTGCGGTGTTGGTTCACGAGAGAACGCTCGCCAAGTCCATCGTTGTCGCAGCCCGATGAGCCCCGGATGTTGAGCAGTCGGGGACCTATTCATCGGCGCTCGCGCTCAGCTGATCTGACTAATGCTCGATGTTTGCACACCACGTTCAATGGAGGAAACTTGAAGCACTCACAGTACAGCATGAGCTCTCGAAGATGCACTTCGATTCTTACGACTGAGGAAAGAGAACTCCTCAAAATACGTGAGGAGAAAGAATCAATGCGAAACCAGATGTTGCGGAACCGCCGTTTCGCTGCCAGGATTTACAGCGAGAATCGGCCAACTCCTAGTGTGAGTGTCCCGCGTGGTGGTCTTGGAGTACCATAACTGTTCCACATCAGGTAAGGGAACGACGTCCTATCCGTCCACTGACCAAACACGTAATTAAAGAGCAGCCGCTGAGGAAGTTCCGCTTCTGATGGTGGGGCGTGGCTTCACGGGAATTTGACACATGCTGGAATGAAGCCTTCGACATATTTACTTGGTTTCGATTAGTTTGTTTCTTGAGTTTCTTTCATGGTTGAAGATGAGTCGACCTATGAAAAGAAAGTATATCTTTGATTACGTCGAGTTGGGTAAGGGACTTGCACAGCCCTCATGAACAAGTATAGGTCGTTCCCGATTGATCCTGCTCGTGCGCGAATGACAACGGCTGCAAAGAAAAATGCACTCGTGACATAGGTTAAAAGGGCAGGGCAAGGAAGTTTTATTACCTCCATGCATCATGGAGTTTCAGCACAACGAATAATCGAGATAACAGTCGTATCATATTATAGCTGGTTATGTAGACCCAGCAGCTCCCCAAGCTCTCTGCGAATCTTTCAAACTCGCTCTGTTTCACAGTCATTAACGACTCAACGTTCACTTCATGTGTACACAATACTTGGTGAAGATAAGTTTATTCCAAACAGTAGAAACTCGAGAAATTATTTAACCTCCTTAGGGGTGGTAGCGACACACTTACCGAGCATGACAACACCGTTACCCTCCATAAGAGCAACACGAGAGAGACCCTCGCAGTGCTTGAAGGTATCGACAACAAGGTGCTGAAGAGGCTCGAAGACGACCTCGGCCATCTCGTTAGACTTCAAGGAGTGGGGATCCTCCATCTTCTTGCCACCGGTCTCCTTACCGACCTTCCAGTTGATCTTGGTAAGCTTGCAAGCGGAACGACCAGTACGGACGAAGGCGATGGGAGAGTAACCAACCTTCAATTCGCCGGGGACATCCAAGATCTGGACCTGGGCGGTGAAGCTACCGATGTGTTGGAGAGTCTTATCAGCCTTCGAGATCATGCAATCACCAACGCGGGGCATGTTATCCCTGTTGAGACCCTTAACATTGAGACCAACGTTATCACCGGGATAAGCTTCCTGCTCACGCTTGTGATGCATCTCAATGGTGAAGACCTTGCCGCTGCAGGGAGTAGCGGGGGTATGAGTAGGCATGAAAATGACATCCTCGTTGGGCTTGACAACACCCTGCTCAACACGGCCAGTGAGAACATCACCGACACCCTTGATCTTGTAGATACCGGAGAGGGGAACACGCATGGGGGCATCGACGACACGCTTAGGGACAGTAGCGAACTTCTCGAGAGCATCGTACAAAGTCTCGACATGAATCTTCTCGGTGTCCTTGACAGTACGCTGGACATCCATACCCTTCCACCAGGCCATCTTGTCGGACTTCTTGATAAGGTTATCACCGCACCAGCCAGAGATGGGGAGGATGGGGACGCACTTCTCAACGAAGTCCTTCTTCCAGCCCACACGGCCGAGCATGTTCTTCATCTCATCACGGATCTCGGTGTAACGAGCTTCCTTGTAACCAGCGACATCAGAATCCATCTTGTTGACACCAACAACCAACTGCTTAACGCCCAACAAGTTGATAAGACGGGCATGCTGACGGGTCTGACCCTGGATCTCACCAGCCTTGTGGTTACCACGGGCAATGGCGGTACCGAAGTTACCATCAGCGGGGACCATGAGGAGGGCGACATCAGCCTGAGAGGCACCGGTAATCATGTTCTTGATGAAATCCCTATGGCCGGGAGCATCAATGACAGTGTAGTGCCAAGTCTCAGTGAAGAACTCCTTGGTAGTGCAAGCGATGGTGACACCACGCTCACGCTCCTCCTTCTGACGATCCATATAAAAAGCGAAGGCGAAGGAGGACTTGCCAAGACGGTCGGCCTCAGCCTTGAGCTTCTCCATCTCTCTCTCAGAGACACCGCCGAGCTCGAACAACAAACGACCGGTGGTCGTCGACTTGCCGGAATCGACGTGACCGCAGATCACGATGGACATATGAGTCTTCTCTCCAGTAGCAGCCATGGTTGTGAAGTATCAGGAGAAGGTATACAATCAAAACTTAATACATAAACATGGAACGTCAACAGTACAAATCCTTACACAAAGCGTAAGATTCTCACTCTTACGAGAATCTTCCTAGAGAGACCATAGCGAAGCTAAAAATCCTCTGAAGCTAACACTGCCATGCTCCATTCATATGATGGACCGTGTTCACTCACGTAACCCCACAACTGAGCGCAATCACGACCGAGCGCAACACAACTGAGCGCAAAACTTCATGTAGAAAACTACAAGTGAGCGCGCGCTTTAGCGCGCGCCATAAGGATAGGAGCGCCTTTTGAGCGCATAAGCTTGCCGTTGGGTAATTTAACCGATTTTTTCCAGGTTCGTTTGCTTCGACCGGGAGAGCGATAGGCTGTATCGGGAAGTCGGGAGTTCGATCCCAAATCACGTGAATGTCTGTTACTTCTCTCGGCGCAATTCTGATTTTTGGCTCCCGTTTCGGGCCGTTTCTCAGGTATCCACTAGTGTGAAATTCTCTTCTGGCGAGATACGGTCATTGACAACGAAGGGCAGACTCCAATGTTTAACGAGACACTGATATCACACTACAGAGAAACCGAGAAGTTGAAGAAACGGGCAAGTGAGACACACACAATCACGTTGTAAAGTTGCCGGCCTTAGAGCGCCTTCGAATATTTTTCGT